AGCGGCTTTAGATTCTCAGTGCTGTGCCTTAACCCGCTGCGCCACCAGGGAGGGCCGGTCTAACAACTTTAATAGCCATTTGAAAAATACATAAAAGCCACAGTGATTATTACATGTCATTCTTTATATTGATGGAATGGGTGTGCCTATTGAGACTATCAAAATGGTCAGACTTGATGTATCTGTCCACATTGATTTTTGTGTAGTTATTTGCTTTTTATCACAGCAATTGGCTTCACAAAGATAAGACATCAGAACTCATTTCATTTGTAGCAACCTGGATGGAGCTAGAAGGGATTATGCTCAGTGAAGTAACTCAGAAGTGAAAAGAAAACTCAAGGTGGTTTCACTTATAGCAGGAACATAGGGAAACCATACAAGGGATCAGGAAAAAAGGTCAGAACTTGCAAGCAAAGTAAATAGACACTGGGGATGATGGGGGAGGTCAAAATGGAGTAGGAAAGCACAAGAAAGACTGGTGATGGTTCATGGGTATTGTGTCTTGGTGGGAGTTTTATGTAGATTACATAGGAGAAATAAAACATTGCATAAAAATGATATAAAGGGAATCTGGTGACATGTAACAACTATCTAGAACTATTAGATTGCTGGAAGTCATGACACATTTTTTGCTTGAAAAAACACATTACTTTTCTTGACAACCCAATACATAGAAATTTGCATGGTATCCAAAAGATGGTAACTGTAAGGTTTTCTCTCGAGTCCCAAAACACCTCAGCTTGCACAGTTTAGAAGAACCACCAGTGAGGTTGATAGAGAAAGGTGCAAAACCTGTGGTAAAAACTAATTACAGAGAGCTAATCTGAAAATCCCCTTGGAAATAGTATTATAAGTACTATACTTTAAAGCACATGTCAGGACTAAGTTGCAGAAGTCCTTGGCACTAGAAATTGGTTGGTATGTTAAGTTTTACTTCATTATTAAACTAAAAACTACTATTAGGTTTGATATAGATTGACTAGGTTATACAGGTTATTATAAATGTCAAGATCTGCCATATACTTTATTATATACAGTAAAATTGGTAAGCTACTGATTTTTAGATATAATTCAGCTACAGTGAAATTCAACTTTTTGCATTATAAAAACAGACTTTAGTGGGCTCCCTGTTGGCACAGCAGGTTAAAGCACAGCACTAAGAAGCGAGAGGTACTTCAGCATGAGTTTGATCCCCACCCTGGAGGTGACTCACATGGCGCAGCAGACCTCTCCTGACCCAACTGCTCCCCTCAGCAGCTTATTTCATTGATCTGCCTGTTCTGCTCCACACTCTGTCTCTGGTGACTCTCCTGTGCTTTTTGTCTTGTCTAAGTTTGTGTATTTTTAAAAAAGATTGATTTATGCATAAAAGAACTGGGGTACAGGCCAGAGGTGCAGGGGGTGAGAGGATTCACCAGAGACAGTGTCAAGCAGTACAGGCAGACTGACTGAAATACACTTCTGAGGGGCACAGTGGGCAGGCCAGGAGAAGTCTGCCATGCCATATAGGTCACGTCCCTGACCAGGCATGGAACTCATGCTGCAGTGGCCGCAGATTGCTACATAGTGCTATACTTTAACCTGTTGCCCCACCAGGGAAGGCCCTATGTCAGTTTGTGTATTGATAAAATGTGGTTGTAACTGTAGCCAGCTTTATTAATTAAAATTTCAATATACATTTATTTTTACTTCTTTTGTAACTTAAACATTTTTATTAAGTACTACATCTATAAAATTGTATGCCACCAGAAGTGCCTTTTTTCTACCAAATTTTGAAGACTTATTTTTAAGGTAACATAATTGTAAGAACAGACTTTAGAGTCAGGTATATTTAGCTTGAAATGAGCTCTGATGGTTTGTGCCCTTGGTCAAAATAATTTCTACTTAATAGGGTTGTAAAAGTAAAATGAGACAACATATACAAGTGCTTAGCACAATGCTTGATTCATAGTAAGCACAGCACATAGTAAACCCATTCCTATAGTTTGATTCTGTTTTGATCCTTTTAAAATTAAGTACTTTTCAAGTTGTTTTCTTTTCCCAAATTACTTCTCACCTCATTTCCACACCAGAGCATAGTTAACTAGTGCTGCTTATATATATATATAAATGAAAGCATACATAAATGAATATCACATCACATTATATAAAACAATAACAACATACCTGGGCTGTTGGTTTGTTGTGGAATATGCTTGATCTAACTAAACAGAAGGGCATGGTTGCCCTTTTATTTTTTTTTAATTTGCCTACTACACTTTATTTTCTCACTTTTTCTGAAGTATAACATCAAACCAAAAATGTTTGCTTTAAAAAAATCATCTGAGGATGAAGAAAGTTCTATAATTCAGAACTTAATAAAATTTCTCCTTTAAAAGGATAATCTGAACTCTACTAAAATTCAGTACTAAATCAGAACTAAATGTTAGGTTTTGGTACTTAGTTTAGTTAAGCTCTTTGTCAAGATGAACTGCTATTTCTAATGTTTCCATCGGTTGGTGTCACCTGAGATAACTTACGCAGCTGCGTCTGCATTCAGCTGGATACAGGACTGGGAAGTCCAAGGTGACTATAGTCACATGACTGGCAGTGAGTACTGGCTGGAATTGGAGCAGTTTGGTGCTGCTACTGGTGGCCTTCCATGCTCCTATAAGCTAGCTGGCTCCCTTATGTCACAGTCTTGGGGCAGAAGACTTGTGGCAAAAGAACATGGAGACAGACGCATGAAGGTCTTTTAAAGATTATGCTCTGGGGCCCCTACCTGGTGGCGCAGCGGGTTAAAGCACAACACTGAGAATCTAAAGCCACTTCCACATGAGTTCGATTCCCGCCTGCCCCGGAGGTGACCACATGGCGTGGCAGACCTCTCCTGACCCGCCCGCTGCTCCCCTCAGCAGTGTACTTTGTCGATCTGCCTGTTCTGCTCCCCACTCTGTCTCTGGTGAATCCTCTCACCCTCCGCATCTCTGGCCTGTACCCCAGTTCTGTATGAATAAATAAATAAATCTTTAAAAAAAAAAAAAGATTATGCTCTGGAACTTGTATACATCATTTTTACTACAGTCAGTGGGTCAACACAAATCACAAACCCAGCCCAGATTCAAAAGATGTAATGTGACATCCCCTCATACCTGTTAGAATAGTTATTGTCAAAAGACAAAAATAATAAATGGTGGCCAAAGTGCAAAAATAGAGAACCTTTGTAAACTACTGGTGGGAATATATAAATTGAACTAAGAAAACAGTATGGAAGTTCCTCAAAGTACTAAAAATAGAACCCTATGACATATCAGAAAAGGGGTTAATATCCAAAATATATAAACTACTACAATTCAAAATATATATAGCCTAATTTTAAAATAGCGGACTAAAAGGCATTTCACCAAAGATAAATGGTCGAGAGACACATGAAAATGTTTTACTTTGCTCATCATTAGGGAAATGGAAAGCAAAACCATAATAAGATTTCACTTCATACTTCATATTATAAAAATTCAAGAAATAATAAATGTCAGTGAAGTTGTGAAGAAAAAGGAAGCCTCGTGTACAACCCATGAGAATGTAAACTGGTTCAGACACAATGTAAAATAGTATGGAGGTTTCTCAAAAATTTAAAAATAGGGCTACCCA